AAAATATATTTTATTGATTTTTTACAGAGAGGAAGGGAGAGGGATAGAGAGTTAGAAACATCGATCAGCTGCCTCCTGCACACTCCCCCAGTGGTATGTGCCCGCAACCAAGGTACATGCCCTTGACCAGAATCGAACCTGGGACCCCTGAGTCTGTAGGCCTATGCTCTATCCACTGAGCCAAACCAGCCAGGGCAACAATCTCAATTTATTAAAACTTGTACATGCTCTAAATATTTTGAAACCTTTACAACATACCATCTCTAACTTCCTTATGTATAAAATGACCCAGATACTTAGTAAAAGTAAATTTCTCAGAGAAGGACTACATCCTATTTATGACTCAACAATAAGTGTGTGTTTTTTTTCTTTTCTGGGGCCTAGTTTTAGTTGATAAAGACCATAAAGCAGAACAACAAAAAGGATGCTCTAAAGTAAACTTAGTACAATTCTTTTCTTTTCTTTCTTCCTTCTTTCCATCTTTTAAAAATTTGGAGCCTGTTATAAGCCCAGACCACAGCGAATGTGTTTAGCATAGGATGGCTACTTGGTGGAAATTCTTCCAAACATTTGCCTGGAAGAGTTTTGGGAGCCCTCTTAATTCCCAGATCTTTAACCTATTTCCTACAGGTGATTTACGGAAGGGTGTCTTTGTGAGCCAGGAAATTCGGTCATGGAACCAGTAGCCACCCATTAGCTGCTCAGGGTCAAAGGTTGCCTGTGCCAGACTACCTTCCCTACAGAGGCTGCCTCTTGCAACATAGTGACTTGGGAAGCTGAACAGACAGGTCCTGCCAGTTTCAGTTACCACTGCCCCGATGAAGTGATATTTGATGTCCTCCTCAAATAAGACCTTAAAAGAAGTAGTCAGGGTCCCGAGTTCGGACACTATGAATCTGGGCACTCAAGGTAGAGAATGGTGTGCCCTAGGCTCTAAGCAAGAGGCCAGCCTCCCTTCCTGCAGCCCTGCTGGCCCTTTCTAGCCTCACTGTGCTCATCTCCTCCCTCCCCTCTCCTTTTTCATGCAATGCACTCTGCAATTAGGCACTGCCAGAGCCTAAAGGAGGTTTCCTTCAGGCCCCTTCACAGCCTGGCCCACAGCTCAATAATTGTTTTATTTTCTGTGTAGCATCTTGATTTCTTGACAGAAAAACCCAAGCATAAATTAACCTGCTAAAGTTTAAGTTCATTCTCTTGTCCTTACTTGTGACATTAGATCAGGAAAAGCTTCTAAAAATACTACTGTGCCCAGTGGGTGTGGCTCAGTGGTTGAGCCTCGACCCATGAACCAGGAGGTCACAGTTCGATTCCCAGTCATGGCACATGTCCAGGTTGTGGGATCAGTCCCCAGGAGGGGTTGTGCAGGAGGCAGCTGATCAGTGATTCTCTCTCATCATTGATGTTTCCATCTCTCTCTCCCTTTCCCTTCCTCTCTGAAATCAATAAAAAATATATTTAAAAAAACCAAACAGCTACTACTGTAAGTCAATATGAAATATTTAAAAAAGATAATATATTTATGCATTACATTTGAAAATAAATAACTTAAAAAATGTTAATTCTAGTGTCATTTAGAAAAATCAGAAAAATATTTTCTAATGTATTATATGGGTCTAAAATTTTCCTTTAAAAATATATATGTATATACATAGATACATACATATACATAATTGTTTTTGCCAACATTATCAGTTCAATCTAATATTAGGAAATTTAAAAAATACAAATGTTATTATGGCTGACCTAGAAAAACCAGTTCTATGCTAAGACTGTGCAACACTTCCCATCCAGGCTCTCTGTATGATGAGTGTTTAGTCCCCCCACCCAGCCACCCTGAGCTTGGGGACTGTATCATCCCCACATTTCAGACGAGGAAGCTGACATGTAATGAGGCAAATGAACACCCCGCCCCAGGCAGCCAGTGGCTGAGCCAGGAGAACCTGGGTGATACCCCATGGTTCCAGTCTGCACTCTATAGCACCAGGCAGCTTCTCAAAAGAGAAAAGTGCAGAGACAACATGATCGGAATTTTAAAGGACAGAGAGGAGGATCCCATTCTCCAAACTGAAAGGAGAAATGCAATGTCACAATTTGCAAGGATTTTATTGGGTGTACCAAAGCCACCTTTAGTCAACTTCATAAAAAAGCGAAGTCTAACCAGCAAAATGTAATTTGGGGCATAATATTCAATTTTCATGCCCTAGCTGGTTTAGCTCAGTGGACAGAGTGTTGGCTTATGGACTGAAGGGTCCTGGTTTGATTCCGGTCAAGGGCACGTACGGCAGTTGCAGGCTCCTACCCTGTCTGGGCCCTGGTCAGGGCGCATGCAGAAGGCAACCAATCGATGTGTTTCTCTCACACTGATGTTTTTCTCTGTCTTTCCCTCTCTCTTCCACTCTCTCTAAAAAAATCAATGAAAAAAATCCTTGGGTGAGGATTAAAAAAAAGAAGAAGAAGAAAATATAAGAAACTATGCCTCCAAAAATCACTTCTTACCTCAATGTCAAACATTTCCACAGAGTTGTCCAGCAGCTTTACTCTGAGAGGAAAGCGCTTCTCCTGCATTCTAGCTGCCATCCGCGTCATCCCTGCTGAGGGAGCCTGCCCAGGCTCCAGGGTGCTCACTCCTGCCGGGGGCTGGGTGCCAAGGCGTGCCCCTGGGGTCTGCAGGGCTCGGTATGTTCCTTCTATCTCCCCCATTCTTCATCAGCTAAGAGTGAGGAATACGCTACAAAAAAATAAAACCCAAAGAATCACCACCAGCTATTTAGACATTAAAACAATATAAAAAATGACCAGGTACACAGGAATTCTCTGCATGATTTTACAACTCCAATGAGTCTTAAATTACATAAAATTACAGAGGTGCCCTGGGTGGGTGGCTCAGTTGATTGAAGTGGTGTCCTATACACCAAAAGGTTGCAGATTCGATTCTCAGTTAGGGCACATACCTAGGTTGTGGGTTAGATCCCCGGTTGGGCGCATATGGGAGGCAACTGATCCATGTTTCTCTCTCTCTTCCACTCTCTAAAGAAAAATCAATAAAAACATATCCTTGAGTGGATTAAAAAAAAAAAACTATCTTCTACTCATACTTGGTTGGTGGAACAGAAAATATAACAAGCACCTCCAATAACAATATTTCCCAGGGGATTCTGCAGGCTGGGTGGCGTCTGAGCACACCGACCCCACAGAAGCTCCTATGAGAGCTGCCTCACCATCACTCGGTGGGCAGAGGGCAAGAGGCTGGCAGGGCTAGTCCTTCTCAGGCTCTGCCAACCAGCCACACACCCACTGTGCTGTCCGGGCCTTCGGCACAAGTAACGGGTCCCACGTGGCACAGCACCAGTGCACTCAGCAGGCTCCTCATTTCTGCTGATGGGTGGGGAAAATTCCAAGGACAGTAGCTCAAGACAACCACCCCTGACTCTGCCAGCTTTGCATTCCTTGGTTTTTCTACGTCGTGTCTCACAAGGCTGGAATGGGTGCCACCGATGGTGAGGGAAATAATTTCAGGCACGGTATGGAGGAGAGCCTAGGTGAGTGTCACGAGGATCACACACCTGAGGTTGGAAGGCATCCTCCCATCCCGTCCTCACAATGACCACCTACCACCCACCTAACTGGTAACAACACTGAGGGTCCAACAGAGCTAAGTAGCTGGGGCAGCACTGGGTGCCCTTTTCAATCCTCCTTGTGCCCTGGGGAAGGTCTCTGCTTTTTAAGCTATTGAGTTGAGCAGGGCAAATCACTTCAGAGTTTTTTTTAACAAAGAAAGAACAGACGCCGAAACCGGTTTGGCTCAGTGGATAGAGCGTCGGCCTGCGGACTGAAAGGTCCCAGGTTCGATTCCGGTCAAGGGCATGTACCTGGGTTGCGGGCACATCCCCAGTGGGAGATGTGCGGGAGGCAGCTGATCGATGTTTCTCTCTCATCGATGTTTCTAACTCTCTATCTCTCTCCCTTCCTCTCTGTAAAAAATCAATAAAAAAAAAAATATATATATATTTAAAAAAAGAAAGAACAGGCTAAGTATCAGCCAGAATCTAATAAGACTAGCTTGCTTTGAATTGTATTCATTAATATAGTTACCTTCTATTTATGGCAAATTTCCTTCTTAAATATATGTATTTATGTTTGAAAGTCAACTTAAAGAAACATATTTAACAGTAAAACACAATATGGCGAAAACGAATGCCAGATGTATAATCAAGAAAGAATGCAGCTGCTGCCAAGTGTTTTGTTTCACATAATCATCTTCAAAAAGTCTTATACGAGTTTGTAGTAAATGTTTTAGAGGATTAATCTCACTACATTCCTGGTCTAGTTCCTTGCTTGCAAACTGCATGGCTGGCTGAGTCCTTCGGCCCTTTTCTCTTTGTCATGCTTATTTTGTTATCAAGACAAACTCATGAACTTTTTACTTGAATTAAGTCCTAAAAGCTTCTCAAGGACCAGGTGCCAGGCATCCCACTCTGTCCACTTAAACCCTACCTGGGCGAGAACTTCCATGCACATCTGGTTGATCAGACAGTAAGCGCAAAGCAAGGAAGTGAAACCCCCAGGAAAGTGGAAGGTGAACAGCATGGCACAGGATGAGGCCGTGTGTCATTCTGCCAAGCACACCTACTGTCTCAGTTCCCACACACGTTTGGGTTGGGTTAGCAGTTACCTATTATCTTCAGAATTCTCTCGTCAGGTTGTATGCCCCTGAGAACAGGAACTAAATGCTACTGTAAATGTCTGCTATGTGTTTACTTAAAGTCACTGGCATCAAAGAACCCGAACTGCCTCATTATGCAATGCATTGTGTAGAGTTCAGAAACAAAGACAGGGCTCCCTCACAAGCAGAACGACACTTGAGGAAATCACTGTTTTCATGACATTAAGAGTAAACCTGAGATATACAGGTTCTGAGAATCATAAATACGAGCTTTTTCATTTCAATTTCACAAACTTGAACAGTTAGTACAAAAGTGAGGGAAGGTGTCTCCTGTGTGAAACATGATTAAGTTCTTGGTCAGCTCACATTTAGCGAACCCGGAACCATCAAGAGTAGGTTCTTTTGAAACAAGTTGGGGGGTGTTTTATTTTAGGCACCAAAGCTACCTTTCCACTTTTAAGCCAAGCTACAATTCTGAAAACATATGTAAACCAGAATGTATTTTTAGAAGTTACTATCCTTATTTATTCCATTGTATAATTCTCATTTACATTTGTTCTTAATAATTTTATATGGAAAAAACTTCTTCAGGCTCTTTCTCTTCTGTCATTATAAGAAAGTCATGTCTACACACATACTTCTAAAAAAAGGCAAGAAAGACCAACCCATAGTGTCCAGAGGGCACATTCAGGTGAGAAAACGCTAAGGAAAAATATGCAAGGAGGTTATTGCTAGAAAAGTCAGGGCAGTGGTCCCTCCTTCGTGGTGGGAGGGGTCTGTCACTGGAGGGTAAGGGGGCTCAGTTCTATTACTTGACCAGGGCAGCATTCACTTTATAATTCATTGAGCTATAGATTTGACTCATGTGGTTTTTCTATGTCTGTGTTTATTTTATAATAAAAACATATTTAAAACAGCATACTTTTAATTTAACACTGCTTCATCTGTCAGAAGAACGAAAGACATATTACACATAAAAGACTTTTCTTAGTTCAAGGAATACTAAAACATGGCTCCCTAGAGGAAACTCCTTCCTCACAGCAAACTTAGATCCACTCTACTGTAAACACTGGCACAGCTGATGCTGAAACTCAGGGTCATCTGAGGAAGACAGATTCACTTGAGTCAATGCCCCAGGAGGGACCCTGCTGTGACGTTCCAAAGAAAAATCTATCTGCTATGACATAACAGTAATGTGGCATAAACTACCCATTTAATGAGAATTCAGCTTTAAGTTTAAGAAAGCCTTGAAAGTAGGAAACTCCAGTGCTGTGAATGTCAGCTAACCTTGTTCTCAAAGGCTATCCATCTATTTCAGAACAAGCAGCATAACTGGATACTTCCTGTAGAAAGTGAGGCTGATCATCCAAGTCACTTTCTACAGCCCGATGACTTCCTCCAGCCTGACTCGGGGAAAGATGTCTGCATTGAGCTGTTTTTACAAATTATGGCCTACAGAAGTTACTTTGTTCTGTTCTGTGTGCTTATAAACCAACATTACAAAGGCAAGAATATGCAAGCCAGACTAGAAATAAACACAGCAAGGTCACTACCAGTCCCTGACACACCCAGTGTTCTGCAGCCCCTGCTCACGTCTCTGCTGCTGCCAGAGAACCTTTCCAGAAATCCCGAGAGAAGTGACCTCCGAGGGACCGCAGCCCATTTTCCCATCTTCCTTGCACCAGACTGAAATGCTTTGTGGTCTTCATTTCTAAAAATACTGCTGGTCGCTGTATAGTTTCCACTACTGACATTTAGTGCTACCTACGACAAACTCAGCTCCTATGCGTACATACTCATTTAATAAAAAACTTAAAAAACCACCTTGAGACATATTCCACCTTGAAGTTGGAAGAATTTGGTTCAAAAGTCTGCCAAGGCTTTGACTAACGATGTGTCAATGCAGGTTTGTAACAAATGTTGCCTGGGGAGGGAGGGTGTTGCTATCCAGGGAGGCTGTGCCAGGGTTGGGGCAGGGGTCATATGGGAAATCTCTATAACTTCACTCAGTTTAGCTGTGAACTAAAAACTGCTCTAAAAAAAAAGAAAAAAAGAAAAAAGTCTAGTAAAAACAAAAGTCTGCCACAGAACACATAACTCAGAAGTGACAGAGTCAGGACTCAAGCCCAGCCTGGATTTGGCCACCATGTTCCCGGTCTCTGCTGGAAAACCAGCTCACAGCTCCCCAGACACAGCAGCCCATAATCACACTAAGGGAGCTTGCTCAAATTTCTCTGTGCAAAAAAAAAAATCTACCTTCAATGAAATATTTTTGGTTGTTTCTTTTAGGAGGACCAAAAAACACACAACAGGTTCTCGAATAACGTCATTCTGTTCAATGTCATTTCCTTACAACACCGATGAGGAAAAAAGTCCATTCCTGGTGGGACCACTGTCTGTGTGGAGTGTGCATGGTCTCCCATGTCCATATGGGTTTCCTCCAGGGACTCGGGGCTCCTCCCAAATCCCAAGAATGTCACGTGAGGGGAATGCCCTATGTACATGTACAGTGTCCCTATCTTTGTGCACATGGGTGGCCCTAAGATGGAAGGGCACCTGTGGGGGTGGGGGTGGGGCGCCCCCACCTTGCTTCCTGAGCTGCTGGGAGAGGCTCCAGCCATCCATGACCCTGAACTGAAACCAGCAGGTTAGAAAATTGTTACCTTACTTGTTTTTAGTATTAATGTTTCTCAAATGTATGTGTAGCTGATGTTTATTTTAATGTTTAATATTAGAAGTGTTTGGGGTCTTTATTTAGAAGTTTGGTGATGTTTTTGTGACCAGAAATATGTGGTAGGAACTTAGCTCTGATTCACATCATTAGCTGCTGGTAAAACTGGCTTACTTTAGGTTGTTTCTCTTAATGTCACAGTTTCCAAGAACCTGTCGACGACTAAGTGAGGACTTGCTGTACTTCTACAGTGACCAACGAAGGACGCAGAAGATGGCACTCATTCCCCTGCACGTTCTAATATCCTAAACCCCACTGCAGTGTTGGGAATGAACTTTTGGTGCTGATGGCATTTAAATGGAATTGTCACCTGGTTCTCAACCCTGGATTGCATTACCTCTTTAACACAATGCAGCAAGAGACGGACCCTTTTTATTCCCTTTCTAGTAAGCATGGCTGATAGGTTTTAGAATAAACAACTGAGTAATTCAATCAATGTAAGGACCTGGAGGAAAACCGTCAGAACCTGCATTGCCAGGCAAGGCTTCATAGAGCTGACAAGGAACAAACGGCTGGCCAGTGGAGGGCGGGTGGGCAGCCCACCCAGGGAACAGGGCCAGCTTCACAACACCCCCTCCCCAGGATACAGCCCATCTGTTGAAAGCCATAGAAAACACGTCTGGTGCTGAAAAGCTGGGGAGAAGGGCACTTCGGAACTCACCTGTACACTTGCTCCAACAGGTGCTTCAGGATTGATGTCACATATGTGAAGCCTAAGGACTGACAAGAACCTGCATCCTGGGCAATGCTGTCCCTCAAGTACCAGGAAGGGCAGTCACAGTCACCAACCTCAAAAACCTCTGGTGTTGAAGGGCAGCTCACGAAAACAGAAAGGTGTCCCCAGGCTGTGATAAAAGAGGCCAAATAATCATGTGGACACTCAGGCACTCATGGGAAATGAGGAAGGAAGGACACAGCAGTAGCCTGGGGGCAGGGGGTGGAAGTCTGGAGGCAGTGCACCTGGGATCTAAGTCTAACTCGGCCATGGATGAGTGGTTATTTCACCACACCCAGCCCCACTCTTATGACTTTAGATAACCAATATTTTCAAACCTTACAATTCTTTTGCTCCCTAGGTTTTTAAAAGAACTGCCTGAACACTAAATAGATGTCAGTAATTTTGACCTTCTACCATCAGGTATTCTGACTTTACATGAAACAAAATTCTATTAACTGAAAAATAAAGTTTAAAAATTGTTTTTATTTATTGATTTTAGAGAGAGAGGAGGGGGGAGGAGAGAGAAACATACATTGATTTGTTGTTCCACTTATTTATGCATTCATTGCTTGACCCTGGACCGTACTCGCAACCTTGGAGTATAGGTATGGCGCTCTAACCAACCAAGTACCTAGCCAGGGTGTGAACAATAAAGTTTTAAGAGCTGAAATGAATTTGGATAGCTGACTGATTTTCAACACTTTTTTTTTTTTATATGAAGTTGCCCAATTCACCATCAAAATCTTCACAAAGTCAGAAAGATGTCTATACCAGTACACTGCTTTGATGTGAAAGCAGGTGTTTGGCGCACTAACTTCTGTTAGAGGAGGAGGAATATAAACACAAGCATTTGCTTATATTAAAAAAGACTGAAGGATAAAGCAGAAACTAATGAGACAGGTAGGCACCGGACTGGGGAGGGAGGAGCGTTGGGAAGACATCCTGGAAGCCACTTCTAATATACTATGTTTAGTCATGTTGACTTGGGAACCTTGTAAATGTTCTTATATGATTAGAAAGCAAAATTAAATCAGTGTTTTAGAAAAGCAAGCGCTAAAATTTCAAACAAAATGAGACAGATGATCCTCATTGTACACTAAAACAGTGACTAAACTACAAAGAGAATTAGTTCAAGTAACTTTAAAACTTAGTAACTTCGTTATATATCACTAATAAAATGTATCCTAATGATTAAAAGACTACAAGTGAAACCAGAATGTGGCATATTCCATAAAAAAGTGACCTCATTTCTTCAATAAATGGCAAAGAAAGTGGGGAGGGAGGAAAGAAACTATTAAAAGACTAGAGGCCCAGTGCATGGAATTCGTACACTGGTAGGGTCCCTAGCGGCTGCTGGCCGGGTACTACCTTCCCTTCCCTCAGATGCTTGCTGCTGTCTGCTGCTGCTGCTGCCGGCTGGGGCCTCCCTCCCTTCCCCAGGCCAGCCTGCCCCCTAGTCAAACTCCCGGAAGAACTCTGGTTGAGGGAACAATTTGCATACTACGCTTTTATTATATAGGATGTTACCTGTCAGATGTGGACCTTATTTGAATCCTGAATCAAGTATTTATGGAACAATCAGGGAAATGTGAATAGTAACTAGATATTATATATTATAAAGTACTGTTAATTTTCTTAATGGTATTGTGTATATATAAAGGATAAAATGGAATAATGTCTAGGATTTACTTTAATATAGTAAGATGGAGGGGACTGTAGACCAAACAAACAAACAAACAAATAAACAAAAAAACCCCAATCTACTTGCCCATATGTTGACTATGGAAGCTGGGTTTGATATATTATCCCTACTTTTGTGAATGTTTGGAATCTTCCATAAGTTAAAAACAAACAGGTCTAGCAACAAGTTTCAATGTATATAAGGATCTAAGGATCCCCTGGAATAGTGCACAGCTGATAGGGAGTGTGTGAGGTTCCTACACAATGAAATGCTGTCTCAGGCCCTCCCTGTCCACCAGAAATCAGTGCCAGAGAAGGAAGACTCTTGTTGAAGGACATAGATACAATCAATGGAGAGGAGAGACCAGCAGCCAGTATCCTGGCTCCCAGGCCAAGGTAACATAAGGCAAATTTTTTAAGATTAAAAAAAAAAAATTTGACTTAAAAAACTACACCATGCATTATAAATTCACTGTTTCCTTTGTCACCTCCATTTTATTTCAGTTATTGTATTTTTCAGTTCTAAAATTCCGACTTGTTTTTCTTTATATCTTTTTTTTTTTGGCTAAAACTTTCTATCTTTCCACTTGTTTCAAAAGTACCCTTACTTCTTGGAACATTTCAATAATAGCTGCTTTAAAGTGTGTTTTGTTTTTTTATTGAAACCATAACAGCTTACCACAAACTTAGCTTCTTAAAATAACAGCCTTTTATTATCTCAGTTTCTGTGGGTTGGCAGTCTGGATGTGTATGGACCAGCAGAGTTCTCTGCCTAGGGTCCCATAAGGTCTAAGTCAGGGTGTCAACTGGCTTAGGGTTTTATGTGGCTTCTCTGGGAAGAAGGTACTTCTGGGCTCGTTCAGTTCTGCTTGGATACAGGACTGAGGTCCCCAGTCCATGCTTCTGGAGCTGCCTGTACCCCATGGCTCCCTCCATCTTCAGAGGCAGCATGCTGAATCCTTCTCAGGCTTCCACGTCCCTTCTGCTGCAGCTGGGGAATGAGCTCTGCTTTTAAAGACTTGTGGAAATAGATGAGGCCCTGCTGGATGATCCAGGACACCTCTCTTTTAAGATTAGCTGATTGGGACCCTAAATTACATCTGTAAAGAGCTTTTGCAGCATAACATAACATGTCCCCAGAAGTGATACTAGTGGATAAAGGTCATGAAGGCCCAATTTTTGCCTACTCCAAGTCTTCATCAGGTAATTCCAACACCTGCAGCATTTCAGCTTTTGTCTGACTTTTCTCTTGTGAGGTGGCATTTTCCTGGTTCTGCATATGCTGGGTAATTTTGAATTGTATCCTGGACATTTAAAAAAAGTGTTATGAGACCTTGGGTTTTGTTTAAATCCCATGCAGAATGCTGGTACTTTTGCTTTGGCAGGCACTGGCCTGGCTGGGTGCAGGCTGCAAGTCCCGACCAGCCATCTCCAGGCTGTGGATGGCTTCAGCTCATCTGCAGAGGCTCTGTCCTCCCATGTACCACAACCCAATGGCCAGCATTGTTTCCATTATTTGAGTTGCCAAAGTCTCTGGCAAGTTGCTCAGGGTCAGAATCATGCCCGCACAGCTCAGTGTTGAGCCCCAAAGTTCATAAACCACTTGGGTCACTTTTCTGAGCTCTTCCCTCTTCACAATCTCCCTTGTGTACTTTCCAGTTGCCTGGGGCTCTCCTCAGTCCTCCAGCCAGAAACCTGGGGCTTTAGTCATTTCCTGTGACCAACCCATGTCTGGGACCAAGCTGCAGAGGGTGAGGGAGACAAAGCAACAGGGTTCCCCCACTCCCTTAGAGATTCAAGTGTCTGTAGGCTCCTGCTGCCACAGGTCTGAGTGGAAGACAAGGAGGGAGAGGACAAGTGTGGCTTTCCTCACCCTCTCTCTTCTCCTGCAGCTCTCCTTGCTCCCACCTGTGCCCATCTCTGGGTTTCAGATATCTGAAGACCAGGCTGGGGATGCTGGGAGAAAAACAGGAACCTCCCTGTTGGTGCAGTGTACTTCAAATTCTGTCCTTTGTCCCCAATCCGCCTGTCACCATTTACTTGTCAGAGTCCCCAAATAGCTCCATGCAGCTGTCCAGGCTCTCTAGCTACAGTCAGTGGGAGAGTCAGCGTGGAGTGTGCACATTCTGCCTTCTTGGAACCAGTCCTTGACATCCATGCACACTAAACCAGGTCTACAGTGGTTATCTCTGGGCGAGGGAAGAGTTGATTTCTATTTCCTTTCTTCCAATAATCTGTACTTTTCAAATTGCCATTACTATTGAAATCAGATGGCTTTTCTGCGGACTACTGTTTAATTACAACCTGCTTTAGAAGTCTTCACTGATAGGGTTACTTATAGTGTGTTCACCTGCCAAGAGAAAGCAGGAAGGACTATTCCATCTTTCCTCTAGTTGTGCTCACTCTTCTTTCTAAAATAGTTCATTTAACCCTGGTTGTTGTGGCTCAGTTGGTTGGAGCCTTGTCCCCTACACTGAAAGGTGGCAGGTTCAATTCTCGGTTAGGACACATACCCAGGTTGTGGGTTTGACCCCAGTTGGGGTGCATATGGAAGGCAACCGGTCGATGTTCCTCTCTCACACTGATGTTTCTTGTTCTTTCACTCCCTTCCTCTCTCTAAAATCCATTAAAAATTTAAATAAATTAGTTCATTTAAATAAAAATTACTATTTTCAAACACCCGGAATAGATATCTTGTTCAGATACAGTCATGGGCTGTTAATGACTGGGATACAGTCTAAGACATGCATCATTAGGTGATTTGGTTGTGCAAAAATCATAGAAGCACTTACACAAACCTATATGGGACCACCTACTGTTCCCAGTTTACTAGCCTGGACAGCACGTTACTGGGCAAAACACCATGGGATTAAATCAAGCACAAGAGAAAATGATGCTATCAAGAGACAGTAAACACAGATGTATGAGGCTGCGGCCGGTGTAACACAGCTGCTGTTTTATAGAAAACATTTTTTTATAAGTAGGAAGAGTACACTCTAAAACAGGGATGGGGAATGTCCAGCCCGTGGGCCATATAAAGTTGGGAAAATCATTTGGTCTGGCCCTGTCAAAGTATTAGGGGTGAGTTAATTATTTGTTTGACCAGATATAGTAGGTTAATTTATTTTTATTGATTTCAGAGAAGAAAGGAGAGGGAGGGAGAAACATCAATGATGACAGAGAATCATTGATCGGCTGCCTCCTTCATGCCCCCTACTGGGGATTGAGCCTGCAACAGGAGTACGCGCCCTAAGTGGGAACTGAACTCCTGGTTCATAGGTCAACACTCAACCACTGAGCCACTGGGCGGGGCAGCAGGCTAATTTTTAAGCTGATAATTTTGTATGGCCTGCGAGTGATGTTATAAATATACAAATGGCCTTTGAGAAAAAACAGTTCCCCACCCCTGCTCTAAAATAATGATAAAAAGAATACTGTAAATACATA